AGTGATTTTTCCTAAGGTCACATGGCTAATAAGTTTCTAAATCAGGATTTGAATTTAGGTATTTCTGCCTCTAATTGTACTACCTAGCCACAAATCCAATAAAATGAAATTTAATAGGCACAAATGCAAAGGCTTATATTTGCTTTCAAAAAACCCCCAAATCAATAGTTTCACAAATACCAGATGGTGGAGAACTAGCTAGATAGCAGGTTATCTGAAAAAGATCTGGAGGTTTTCATGGAGCAAAAGCTCAGGATGAGTTAACAGTATAATGTGGCAGCAAAAACAAAACCCCAGACCAGGAAATATGATCTTAGACCGTAATACCCAAGTTAGAGGATGCAGGGTTTGGGAGGTGATGTTCCCACTGTCTTCATCAGATTACATATGGAACAATGTGCTTATTTCTAGGCATCATATTTTAGGGAGGACATGGATAAACCATAGTATATACAGAGAGGTAATTAAGAGAGTACAGAACCTAAAGATCATGCCATGAAAGGACTATTTGAAGTTAAGTCAAGATAACAATCTTTATTAGGCACACTCTATGCACCATCACTGAGGGGAGAAATCATTGTGGAGACGGGGTCCACCTACCTCATCACCACTGGCAATGGTGATCAGATAAGTGTGTAAGTCCTGAAGGTGGCACCATCCTCCAGCCCATTGGTCCTGCTTCTGGACTATCCTCCATAGCCATTGCCCAATGAGGCAACTCCTATGGAGAAGAGGCTGACCACCCCACCAACTGCTGGCCAATTGCTACTCACAGGGCAGGGCTAGGAGAAGCTAGGGACCCTGAGGAGGAAATGGGAGGAAACATATGCCAGTCAAGTATAACCATAACCACCACCCTATTGACCACTATCTCCCTAAAGACCTTGATGGAGACAGCCCAGGATGACCCCAAGAGCTGTAGAGCAGCAATGTTTCCTACTCAGTGCCCTCAACCATTATCCTGGAAAGCAACTCTTGTGGAGATGTATTCTGGCAACCGGTCCTTCAAGTGTTATTGTCAAATCTATTGAAAATCAAGAAAATAATGTTCTTGTCACCAAAGTCCTTGGCACATCAGAAACTGATATGATTTTTATCAGTTGAAGTGACATTAAAAAGACACATTGCCACCTGCTTTGCTGCTGCACACTAAGTACCATGAAACCCCTCTTTTTAATTTTAATTTTTTTTAATTTATGAAATAAAACAAGCATTTCCTTGGCACATAATAAAAAAGATGATTGCACATGAAACTGCAAATCTGTTATGAACAACTTGCTTATTCCTTTCAAATATATAATAATGTCACCATGAAAATTTTTTTCTTTCCTCCTCCCCCATCCTAGAGATAGCTACTATTAAACACAACTAGGTATATGTATGTATGTATGTATATATGTATACATACATACACATATATACATAGACATAGATATAGATATATATGTAATATATATCTATATACTTCTATTTATCAGTTCTTTCTCTGAATACAGATAGTGTCTTTCTTCATATGTCCTTTATGGTAAATTTCAGTATTTATAATAGTCAAAATGACTTATTCATCCAAAGTCATTCTTAAAACAATATTGCTGTTACTGTATACAATGTTCTCCTGGTTCTGCTTATTTTGCTCTTCATGATTTCATGCAAGTCTTTCCATGTTCTCCTGGTTCTGCTTATTTTGCTCTTCATGATTTCATGCAAGTCTTTCCATGTTTTTCTAAGGTCATTGAGCTCATCATTTATTGTAGCACAGTAGTATTTCATTACAATCACATACTACAACTTGTTCAGCCATTCCCCAACTGATGGGCATCCCTGCAATTTCCGGTTCTTTGCCACCACAAAGAGAGCTGCTATAAACATTTTAGAACACATATAGGTCCTGCACCCTAAGAAGCACAGGATCTTTCTATCTGACTTGTAGCTGAAACTTTCCCATGTATTATCTCCCACATTAGCTCCTTAAGAGTAGGGCCTGTCTTATTGTTCTATTTGTATCTCCAGTGCTTAGCACAATGGTTTGCATACAGTAAGTACTTAATAAATGCTTCATTCATTCATTCATTCATTCATTCATTCATTCATTCATTCATGTGCTAAGCGCTGTGGATACTTAGGCAAACCTTCCCCCTCCACCCCAAGTCCCTGCTCAAAAGTACTTCATTATCTAATAATAGAAAAGGCAATATGCAGGCAACTATGTACAAATCAGATATACTATACGGAAGCAACTGTAGATTATCTCAGGCAGCCCTCAAAAGCCCAGTAGAGGAAACACTAATATTAAGGAGGGTAGCAAAAGGCTTCTTGTGGAATGTGGGGCTTTAGCTGAGCTATGAAAGCAGCCAGAGAAGCTTAGAGGATGAAGTGAGAAGGGAGAGAGTTCCAGGCATGGGAGACCACTAATAAAAATGCTCAGAGTTGAAGGATGGAGTGTCTTGTTGGAGAAATGGCAAGGAGGTCAGTTTCACCAGGTTGCAGAGTACGTGGCCTTACACTCAGGGTGTAAGGCCTTATACTAGGGTGCAAGAAGTATGAAAATGTAAGAAGGGGGCAGGTTATGATGTGCTTTAAATGCCAAATGGAGGATTTTATATTTGATCCTGGAGGGATTTTATTGAATAGGGAGGTAGCATGGTCAGACTTGTACTTTAAGAAGAGCTGTATGACAGATGAGTGGAGCATGGATGGAAATGGGGAGACACTTGTGACAGGAAGACCAACCAGCAGGCTATTGCGATAATCCACAAGTGGGGCAGCTAGGTGGTGCAGTGGATAGAGCACCAGCCCTGGATTCAGGAGGACCTGAGTTCAAATCCAGCCTCAGACACATAACACTTACTAGCTGTGTGACCCTGGGCAAATCACTTAACCCCCACTGCCTGACAAAAAAAAAACCAAAGCAATAGTCCACAGGTGAGGTGGAGTGTCCCTATGCAAGGTTGGTGGCAGTATCAGAGGAGAGAAGTGGGCATACCTAAGGTAGAAACAACAGAAATTGGCAACTGAGTGGATATTGGGAGTGAGAAGGATTAAGGAGTTGAGGCTCACACCTAGGCTGTAAACCTGAGTGAAGGAAGTTCTAAGTCAGAAAGCCTTGGTAGTTATTTGAAGAATTATCAGGTGGACCTTGACCTAGATGTGTTCTATTTGGTTGGAGGGAGCAAAATTTGAGTCCATGTGTTAAAGTTACAACAAAGTATTTTTTGGCTTGATATGAAGAATAAAAAACCCTTCCTAACTTAACCAGAATTATCTAAAATGGAATAGGCTGTCCCTGGAGATAGAAGATTCTCTCTCATGAGAAATCTTCAAAGGGAGGCCTGGTGGCTACTTCGTGGGTATATTGTAGAGAGGATTCTTGTTCAGGGTCAGGTTATACTAGGTGACCACCTAGGCCCTTTCCTGGTCTAAGATTTTATAATTCCATAATTCTGTAGCATTAAAACCCTGCTGTCATACAGATCAGCTAAGAAATGAGAAAAGCCTATGATGGTGAAGTTAAAATATAATAATTTCTTTTGATGATGACTGTTCCACAACCAACCCTCTCCAATGCCTTTCCATTCTTTTGAACTCAGTGGGAAATCGGGGTGATGCCATCTCATTGACCATGAACTTTGGAACTAAACACTCGTAAGAGCCAGGATGAGCAAAGAACAAAGGGGAAAAACACATTTCGCAGATTGCTGTTTTCTAGTGTCATTTTTCAAGCGTGGTCAGGCAGGTCCTTCTCAGATGACACAATTCAGTGTCTCTAGGAACCTAGCATGCTGTAATTGTGACGCTCACCATTCCCTTTTACAGTGTGAGTGACCGCAAGGTCAGGCTGCCCTCCAAAGCCCAAGATCAGGTCCAAAAAACAGTAACCAGGCTCAGAAACAACTCTGAAGACCACAACCTTTGAACTGAGGGGCAGGGTTAACTCCCACCAGATTAGCTCCAAAGTACATTTTATTGCTTGCATAGCAAAGAATTTGAGAGAGCCTCGGGCTTGTAATAATATAAAACAGTGGGAAAAGCCCTAGATCTGGAGGCAGAGGACCCGAGTTCAAATCTTAACTCGTGTCAGATACTACTTGGGTGACCCTGAATAAGACGCTTTCCCTCTCTTGGCCTCAGTTTCCTCATTTATGAAATTAGAAGACTGGACTAGATGGTATCTGAGGTCCCTTGTGGCTCAAATCTATGATTCCATGCCTCTCACACTGACAAGTCTAGAAATAATAGTAATGATGATCATAGAGAGGCAGTGTGGGTGGTGGACAGACTGCTGGGTTTGGAGTCAAGAAGATTTGGGTTCAAACGCTGCCTTTGGAATTGCTATTTGTAAGGTCTTTTCTGGTGGAGGTGAAAGCCACCAATGAAACATCTCAAAGACTAGTAGCAAGTTATTGTTTTTCAGCTGTTTTCAGTTGTGCCCAACTCTTTGTGACCCCATTTGGGGTTTTATTGGCACTGGAGTGGTTTGTCATTTCCTTCTCCAGCTCATTTTATTGATGAGGAACTGAGGCAAACAGGGTGAAGTGACTTGCCCAGGGTCACCCAGCTAGTAAGTGTCTGAGGCTGGATTTGTCTTCCTGACTCCAGGCCCAGTGCTGTCCACTGCAACACCTAGCTGCCCCAAGTAGCAAATAAGAGAGTGTGAACTCCTTAAGGGTAAGGATTGAGGTTTGTTTTTATCTTTCTATTCCCAGAACTTAACACAGGGCATGCCACAAAGTGGACAGTTAATAAGCCCTTGTTGGAATTAACTGAATTGAAATACAGTAGATCCCATGAATCTTACCCTGACAAGTCTGAAAATGATGGAGATGATAATGGTTGTCACTATGTGCATTGGAGATTTGGAGAATCCCCCTACAGGGAAATTATCTCACAGGTAATTGAGAGTTTGTTATATGGAAATAGACTTCAGAAGCTGCAAAAAGTGAAGACGGGCTTGGGAACATGAGTGCTCCAGGAGACTGAACATAAGAAAACATCTTCCATACCTTTTCTGCAAGCCAGCCTAGATGTCTGATCTCTCGGCTCCCAGGGATGCCACTTTTCCCCAGCTGCTCTTTGACCTCTGCGATGACCCTTGTAAGCAGGTCGCTAACGTTGGCATGGATGGCATTGAACCACGCCTGGGCCGTGGCTGAGTCTTTGCTCCGCAGGATGACAGTGTGTTTAGCATCGGGTGAATGGATTTCAAGATGTCTGGAGAAGTGAAGGGGAAACCATTAGGACCTTTCTAGGCAGCTCTAATCCCCAAAGACCAAAGGGCTTCCTACCTTGATCACATAAGCTTAAACAATTTCTCATTTTCTACATTATCAACTATTACCTTAGTGAGTCCAACCTTGTTTAGCCATTTTTTTTTTTGGAAAAACAGTTCTGTAACTAAGAAAACCTGGCTTTCCTAACTGTTACTTCAGTTTAATAAGCATTTTTTCAAGTGCCTGTTTCATATGGAGCACTGCGCTAGTGGGTGGTGATACAAATACCAACATAAAACAATCCATGTCCTCTTGAATTGCCTGGCTTTATCAAGGTTTATAAACTAGTAACTGACATTAATTTTGTCCTACATTCTTGTTCAAAATAAGGGGTTTTGAGTATATGCTGAGAGCACCACATGACCATATGACCACAAACTCAATCCTGCTGCTCAGTCAGTGATAAACAACAGTTCAATTCTAGGATCAAAGGAAAGCTATCTGCCCATCTTTGTGGACCCTGGCTATGAGGTCCAGGGAACTTTATCCAGCTTCTGATCATTTGCCAAGTGTGGCTGAGGTCAGCATGTGAGGTTAGGAAAGAGCTAAGAGTAGAAAAAATATGCAGGGATGGTGCTCTATTTGAACTCAAGTGGTAAAATTCTCTTTGAGATCTCAAAATTCTAGGAAGGAAGGTTGAGGTTTGGGGGTAGAAGGAGTGGCAATCTATCAAAGGCATGGGTTCTCAGGCAGGTACTTCTCAGTGCCTGCAGACACTCAGTACAATAGGTCATTCATTCATTTATTCAACCAGTATTGATCAAGCTTGTACTCTATGTTAACAATAATAGTAGCTGCTGTTTATATAGTGCTTTAAGGTCTACAAAGTGCTTTACACACATTAACTCATTGATTCCCCCACCAACCTTGTGAGGGTACAATGATATGTGACCTTCTCCATGAAGGAGTTCAAAATATAGCAGTAGCGTGTTTAAGGGTTGGGGTTAGGTCAAGGTTCTGGAGCGTAGGTTGGGAGGAGAGGCATTTAGCCTCATCCACTTCTGCAGGTAGATTCATGTAGAATCATTGAATTTTAGAGTTGGACGGTACCCACCTATTAGGTTATCTAACCCAATATTCCTCCAATTATTCCCTCTACAGCAACAGAGACTGGTGGTCATCTCATCTCTTCAGGGATTTGATTCAGGAATACAGTCTGCAATTCTGTTAATTAAATCCTTTTTGCTTGGGTTTGGTTTTATTTTTTATCTTATTTTTAAATTTTCCTACTTGAGCTCTAAAATTCATGTCTAAGCTAAAATGGATCAAGTGGCACTTGCAGGGAGTAGTGTCTGTAAGTGAGTGTGGAGTATGGAAAAATTAAATAATACTAAAAAAGCATTTATATGACACTTTAAGGTCACAAATCTGTTTGATCCTCATACCAACCTTAGGAGGAAGGTGCTATCATGATCTCCATTTTGCAGATGAAGAAACTAAGGCTGAGATTAAGTGACTTATTCAGGGCCACATAATGAGGCACTATTTGAACTCCAATCTTCATAACTCCAACCCCGGGGCTCTCTCTACTGGGCTACCTACTTGTGCTAAGTGTTTCTTGAGCATTTACTTACTATATGCCCCTCATAGTGAAAGATGTTAGTGAGGGGCTAAATTTAGTGGTCCCTGACATCAGTTAGTTTTTGACTAAGATAAGGAAATAAGATGAGCTTGCATGATTAGCAAAGAGTATAGTCCTATATAATGATGTGCTATAGGGTTCAAAGGCACAGTGGACAGAGTGCTGGGCCTGGAGTCAGGAAGACTCTTCTTCCTGAGTTCAAATCTGGCCTCAGACACTTACTAGCTGTGAGACCCGGGGCAAGTCACCTAACTCTGTTGGTCTCAGTCTCCTCATCTGTACATTGAGCTGGAGAAGAAAATGGCAAACCACTCCAGTATGGTTGTCAAGAAAACCCCAAATGGGGTCACAAAGAATTGGATACAACTGAAAAATGACTTAACAAACAGGGTTTGAAGGAGTGATTGTTACTTGAGTGATCAGACAAAGCTTCCTTTGGACAGGAGTGGGGGACCTGTGGCCTCAAGGCCACACGTGGCCCTCTAGGTACTGAAGTGCAGCCCTTTGACTGAACAGGGCCACACTTGAGGACCTAGAGGGCCATATGAGGCCTCGGGGTTCCCCACCTCTGCACTAGGATATAGGACATGAACTGAATCTTTAAGACGACTTCTGCCTGAAAGGAGCAAGGAAGACTTCATGGAAGAGGTGACTTTGGAGATGGATCCTGAAGCTATCAAAAGACAAATAGAGGAGTTCATATTGTGGGGAAAGAGAATGGCTTGGGCAAAGAAGCAGAGATGACAAAGTACAGAATGTATAGAAAGAATGTTAGGTCAGTGGTTGGTTTTTCTTTAGACAATCTGAGGTAGATTCAAAGCATGTTAGTTAACTCAAGATGGCATAGCCAATGGTCTGGGAGTAGCCTTAGCGAAATAAAACAAACAAACCAAGAGGCAATTTAGGCGTCCTGAGATTGGCACATGTGGAGAAAACTCATGAGGTCGGGAGGCTCACAGAGGAGATTCCTTTGAGGTCTGAGAAGCTGAAAAGTGCGAAGACACCAGCCTTGAAAGAAACGCTTATTAATAGTGAGGCAAAAGGAGTTATTGCGGCATTCTACATCTAGACGACCTTGGCTATGAGACGCCAGCGTAGTGTGCACAAACAAGAGGGAGAAGCAGTATTAGATTAGATTTTAGGTATCTGAAGAAATGTTTTGTTCCAGCACATCTGGGTTTGTTTTAAATAACAAGGGCACCGTTGCGATAAAATCCGGGAAAGAGATGTGGAGAGGGTAACAGCACCGGGGTCAAGAGGGGCCAGGACATAGAGGGGAGGAGGAAAAAGATCCAAGGGGGCTATTGAAGCACTTGGAGACAAACAGGAAGGCATGGCATGCTGCAGGGGAGGGGAGGAAGGAGGATCTTAACTCTTTCTCCTAAAACCTAGTTCGTTCATGTCAGGAATTATCTTGTCTTCGGTCCTATCGTCAACTGTGGAGAACCTGGATAATAACTGCCATGTATCTAGTGCTGATTTACAAAGCACTTTACGTATGTGGTCTTGGTTGATCTTTACAACAACCTTTCCAGGTAGATACTACAGATATTATTGCCTCCATTGTATGGATGAGGAAACTGAGGCAAGCAGAAGTTAAGTGACTTCTAAAGGGTCGTATGGCCATTACATATCTAAGGTCAGATTTGAACTCAGGTCTCCCTGCCACCAGGTCCAGGCCACTCTAATCCTTGTTCCACCTAGCTGCCTCTAATGATAATGTACACAAAGCAAAAATGAAAAGTGCTGCCTCTTCTTCCTCCACATTCCAAAGTCTTGACCCTCAAGTCTCTAACTACCATTCTCCTTAGAGTCCTTCCTTTGTTTTTCTCTTGGGTCTTTCCTTCTATCCTGCCAAGAACACTTCATTTTCCTTAATGAGCTAGATACCAAAGAGACCATTCTCTAGCCCTTTTATTTTCTCCCCTAGCATGAAGAGCACTTTATTCTTAATGTATGGATACTTGTTGGTTGCCTGTGGCAGAAGCATAGACATGGGACAATCTCTGCAGGTCACTAGCACAGTTCCCTCATTCTCCATACTGGCTGAAATGGGAAGATCTGATGTTATTGACAGCTCCCCTAGCTACTCCTATTGCTAATTAGCTGCAGTCTGGTATGATACCCTAGCACAAAGCACTGCAAATTCTTGGTTGCTGTACATTTTACAGTTGGAAGGGGGTGTCTGAGAGAATTTAATTCAATACTTTCTTGTTACAGAGAAGGAAATCGAGGTTTAAAGGGGATGCCAGGTTCATAGACTCAGATCTGGAAGGGAACTCAGATGTCATTAAGTCCAGTCTTCCCATTTTAGAAATGAAGATGTTGAGTCCCGGAGGGAAGTGAGATGGCTTGCCCAAGGTCACACAGACCAAGGGGCAGAGCCAGTCTTTGTCTTCGGCTCTTCTGATGCCAAAGCCAGTCCTCCTTACACCATTCCATGTTGCCTCTCCAAAGTGGCTTTCACATGGCAATACTTAATGGCAAAGCTAGGATTTAACCTTTTTCTTAGTTCAAATTCAGAATTCTTTCTACTAGACAATGCTGTATCCACCTAATAAATGTGTCTTGAATGAATGAAAAAAAAGTAACTACCTAGTCTCTGAGCCTATAAATCCTGTGAGATTGCTCATGGCAGAATATAAGAAATAGATGTCCTATGAAGCAAGACATGTTTAAATTAAGTAAAGGACAAGCTTCCAGACTATTAAGGTTTGTTAATGAGACACAGCATGGTGTACTGTATAGAGACTGGCCTTAGAATCAGAAAGACCTGGGTTTAAGTCCCTCCTCTGGCACAAATTAGCTATGTAACTTTAGGGAGTTCACAATCTCTCAATCCACCAGCCAAGTTTCAAAAGAGGTATCAAACTGCACTTGTGGAGGGAGTTTGCACCCAGAGAATTCCCTCTGCTTTTGAAGTCACAGGCTCTAAATGAAGTTTGTTAAACAGCAAAAAAGATTACTGCTTGTTTAAATACTGAAACTGATTGCTAAATTTTCCTTATGAAGAGAATAACTCAAGTTCCAAAGCCAATTGGTACGGGTCTATCTCCTCACTGGTGGGGATCAATGCTCCACATCTGTGTGAGGGGTTGGGGTGGAGTTGAAGAGATGAGAGATTCAGTCTCTTAATTTCCTTTGTTTCTCTTCAGCCTCTGTGGGCTTTGCTGTGCATCCTTTGCTTTCAGAAGTCTAATGACATCATGGGTGATGTTTTGATTTGCTTGAGAATTGGATTTAAGTGAGGTAGAGCTGCATAAAGTCATCAGCCTCACTCTCTCTTCCAGAGTCATCAAAGTCCAGTGGCAAGACAAAAGACAGAATGACTGGCCATGACCCTGGCTTTATAACACTTT